CTCTCCCCAAGCAGAGTTAGCCTACAGTCAGCCTTAAGGAAGTTGGATATCCCCATAAAATATCAATATTCCCCAGCAGAGTATACAGATATTCCTAACAAGCATCCCCGACAATCTTGATCTAAGATTGTTCCCCGACGGAATACCAGACACTCCGGTGGAGTCATTCCCCAGTACAGTCTCAAAAAGTCTCCCCAGGAGAGTTGATCAATCTCCCCAGTAGATTCTGGAAGCTTATCCCCTACAGAGCACGAACGCATCTCCCGGACTTTTTTATTCAAAGGTTATTCTCCACCGGAGCTTATAACTGGGTTATCCTCAGCTAGTAACCACGGAAAGATCATCCTCGGCGAAGTTCTTCCTATCCCCCAGCGGAGTTCATCAAATCTTCCAACAAAGCTTATCAACGGTATCCCCAGCGGAGTTATCATCAAACCTCAGCGAAGCATCTCTTCCCACAGAGTATTCCCCGCAGAGTAATCTCTTCGCCAAGTTTATTCCCCAACGGAGTCATCTTCTCATATCGTTTTATTCTTGCAACCATCACCCCCAGTGGAAACCAAGAACTTCACTCCCCAACATCAGCCCAGGATTCAATTTCCCGGCATTCGTCAAGGATTTATTTTCCTAGACAAAAATACATTCATAAACATTTCACATTTCATACATCCTGCTTACATACACAACGCATGCACATACACATCATATCACACAATCTCATTTATTTTTGAGAACCTCTTAATATCATGCAGTTCATGCATCATGACACTGCATACATCTAACGTTTTGCCTTTTCAGGAAAAAGGTCAATCCAAAGGTGATTACCATCAACTGTCGCAGTTCTAGATTCGACACCTGTATCTAGCCAGGGCATATCTGTGAGCGATTGATTGTGGATTCGATACCTGTATCTAGACAGGACATATCTACATCAAAGAGATTTCCTTTCAGAGATAGCTTGGAAATGCTCCAGATATGGATGTTGTTCTTTTGCTTATTCAAGACTCCTTCTAGAGATAGTTCAGATGTGATCCAGGCATGGCGACGTTCTGATACTTCTTCCAGATTGCCTTTCAGAGATAGCTTGGAAATGCTCCAAATATGGATGTTGTTCTTTTGCTTATTCAAGACTCCTTCTAGAGATAGTTCAGATGTGACCCAGGCATGGCGACATTCTGATACTTCTTCCAGATTTCCTTTCAGAGATAGCTTGGAAATGCTCCAGATATGGATGTTGTTCTTTTGCTTATTCAAGACTCCTTCTAGAGATAGTTCAGATGTGACCCAGGCATGGCGATGTTCTGATACTTCTTCCAGATTTCCTTTCAGAGATAGCTTGGAAATGCTCCAGATATAGATGTTGTTCTTTTGCTTATTCAAGACTCCTTCTAGAGATAGTTCATATGTGACCCAGGCATGGCGACGTTCTGATACTTCTTCCAGATTTCCTTTCAGAGATAGCTTGGAAATGCTCCAGATATGGATGCTGTTCTTTTGCTTATTCAAGACTCCTTCTAGAGATAGTTCAGATGTGACCCAGGCATGGCGACGTTCTGATACTTCTTCCAGATTTCCTTTCAGAGATAGCTTGGAAATGCTCCGGATATGGATGCTGTTCTTTTGCTTATTCAAGACTCCTTCTAGAGATATGGATGCTGTTCTAAAACTAAAATATTTTTCTTTTAATAAATTAATTAATTAGTTTAATTATTAGTTATTAATTTCATTTAATCACAAAAAAGACAAAAAAATCAATTTCTTTTCTTAAAAGGGTCAACACCCTTAAGACATTCCCGATTCATTCTTTCGCGCGCATTTTAGTTTTAATTCTTTATTTTGATCATTTCTGTAACTGCCTCCGGATGTAATAGTAATTAGGATTTTACTGCTTTATTTACTATTTCTCGTACTTATTTACCAAAACAGGTCTTTGTATTTTTGGCGATGTATAGACCTGCGCCTTGTAATAGCGTAGGATTTATGTTTCCGCAATTTACTTTCCGCACCCCCTTAACTGCTAAACTTGCATGAAAGAATGTATGTAAATAAAAACAACTTGTAGCTCACTAATAACAAAGACAAACATTAACTGAATACAACACACAATACACACACCACTTCTAGGGTACGCCTCACTCGTTGCCTTCGAAACGTGGTCATCAAGTATAAGACGTTTTAGCGGTCGCTCTTATGTCCAAGATCCAGTTGCCTCGAAACGGTTGCCTCGGATTAAAAAGGATCTAGGACATTAGGGTTACTTCTAAGGTGTCCTAACTGTTGCTTCGGTGACCACACTGTCCCTAAAATCGAATTGACCCGAACACCTCCAACGGTGGTGCTACCTACCTCCCAATGGTGGGATGGCACTACCTTAAGGACTTTTACACAGCTTAATTCCTTAGGGTAGGTAGATGACTCATCGGTACTTGCTCTTTTCAAAACAAACAAAAATACTTTTCACACTTCACACTTTCTAAAAGTTTTCAAACAAATTTTTCATACACTCTTGAGGACTGATACAAGAGTTACTTAGAAATTTTTCAAACGAACTTTTTCAAAACCCACACACACACTTGAAAAGAAAACAAATTTTGAAAACATAAGAGCAAGTACCTAAGAGCCCATGGATAACCATGGATAGAAAGGGTGCTAACACCTTTCCTTTCTATAAATCTACCTCCAGAACCGAGAAACATTATCATAAGGAATTTTGCTGTGCTTTTGTCCTTTCCATGTTGGAGAACATAAAAGACGGTGGCGACTCTTGCTTACCGCGACATTTCGCGAAACCAGCTTAAAAACAGTCAGTTCTATTTCCACCGGTCACATAAGGTACCAATACATATGATGCAGTCGAATGAATCTTCAGGCGGGGGAAGAAGGAGTCCATTTTGTTGAACCGTCACCCTGAGAACTTTTCGCTTTTTTAGGTGCACCTTTTGTTTTTACCGGTTGTGATGGAGTTTCAAATTGGTGGTTTCCGGAAAGGCGATTTTTTCTAAAAAGTTCTTTGATGTGCAATTTCATAGAGTCATTAGCTTTAGAAAATCTATCTATTATCACTTCCAACTCGGACGTGATGGTTATGTTGGATGTAGCTTCCTTTGTCGACTCGTAGTCATCAAAGCAGAGTCTTTTCCAATGAGTGTAAACCTCATCCATACGTATGGGATAATTGAGCTTAATTTTTTTAGAAATAACACATGCACATGGAAGCCCGTAATTCGTCCTAATTGTACACGCACACTTCAAACTATTTGGCCCCGTCATTTCCGATCGTTTCGCTTCATGATAGATGAAATTCAATCTCGCCCGGGATATGTTTCCGATCACCTATTAGCATGTTTCGCATGTGCATCTCCGAAACTACCTAAAAAAAGTTCAAATCCAACGTTCATGTTATAAAACGTGGAAAAAGGGTGTCTTCAGAGATGCACTTTTGAAATATGCTAATTGGTGTGTTTGGAAGTACATCTTCGAAGGATATTTTCGAGTTTTCAATGATGATTTTCACCACTATTAAGTGTAAAAAAAATTTCTTTTTTTTCCGTTTGATTCCCTCTACCTTTTCTTTTAAATATCTTGTATATCTAACCTAATATATAAAATTGGTTAAATTATAGAAGAAACTTTTGCTAGCAAAATTATAGTTAATTTTATATCCTTTTAATTATTAGGTATAAACTAACCTTTTTCATTGAGGTTCGGTTTGGTAAAAATAACGGTTGACTGATAAATTATAATTTATGATTGATGGTTGATGACTGATAACTTATAATTTATATCTGATGGTTGGTGATTTAGGTGATAAATTAATTGAAGTGTTTGATAAAATTAGTAATTCAATTAATTGATAAATTAAAATAACATAAAAGATATTTAATTATAATTATTTTAAATTAAATTAATTATAAAGAGTGGTAATGAGTTTTAGTTAAAATAACATGGATAAAAGTATTAAAAAATGATAAAATATAAACCATAAATTAATATAACATTTGAAAAATAAATTATAAACTATCCAAAATAATTTATAATTTCATAATGGAAAAACGGTTACTAAACAAGTATTTTATTTTCATATAAACTTATAAACTTTGAGCTATAATATAAACCATAACTCAAAAAATGACTTGCCAAATATGACCTAAATAGCTAAAAAAAACATTCTAACTTTTTTCTGTTAACTATTAATTTTTTTTATGGATTTCCTTTAGAGTTAAATTATATATGTTTTTTTATTGATTACCTTTTTTTAGGAAAAAATTATAATTAATTCAGTAATTTTTAATATTTTTTTATTATTTGGTAAGACTTATACCTTTCTCCAATTAAATAATTAAAAAATTCTAACTTTTCTCAATCAACTATTTAAATTCAATTTTTACTTTTTTTAATTGATTTTCGTGAGACAAAAATTATATACGCTTTTTTTGTTGATTTTCTTTATGTTTTCTTATTTGTTATAGAAATTTAACAAAATCTTATGTTATTTGTCGACCGTCCAACATAATTTTTATTTATTTATTTAAGTTTATGACACAAAAGTACTGTTCAAAATAATGATAAAATTTTATTAAATTGTGAAAAAGTTTATGGTATTGTATGAATCAAAATGTTGAAGGACTAAGAATCAACATAAATATCTTTCTATAATACATATGAAAATATTCATGTTTCCTTATTTATCAAAATAGGATGAAATGGATAATATATTATCCCAATGAGAGTCCCAAACGTTACATCAACTCATCTCTTTTCCTTTCAAACACCTAACAGCCTCACGTTACATGAAAAGGGCCCAGATCACATGCTTTATCCAAATCACCCCTACAGTGCAACCTCAACACATCAATTTCATTGGTTAGAAAATTATTAACAGGGATATTCAAATCTAAATTAATCTATTCTCTTATATATTACTACAACAATAACCACAAAAGCAAATATCTACTCAAAATTCATCATCATTCACCACCTTCACTCCTTCAACTAGTTCAATGGCGAAACCAGTTTCAATAGAAGTTTGGAATCCAAACGGAAAATACAGAGTTGTTAGCACTAAATCAATGCCTGGAACTCGTTGGATCAATCTTCTCATTCAGCAAGACGTTCGTCTTGAAGTAAGTAATTTACCTGTAATGTTTACGGTGTTTGACACTGGCACCGACACTTATAATTACATATAATTTATTAATTTTTTAAAATTATTATCGGAACGCGTGTTTCTGGTGTAAGTGCTTTAATGATTAATTCTCCTTTCTCTCTTTTTATTTTTTATTTTTTATTTATTTTTAGATTTGTTGTTTGTTGAATAAGAGCTTTTTCTAAGTATTGAATTTGTTTGTGTTTGTTGATTCAGATATGTACTGAGAAGAAAACTATTCTGTCTGTTGAAGATATCATTGCCTTGATTGGTGATAAGTGTGATGGAGTTATTGGACAGGTAGTTCTTGTAACATGGTTGAATTGAACTACAAGATTTTAATTTATGTTTATGTTGATCGTATGAACTAATCGGAATTTTCAAGTTTTTGTTTTAATCATTTTGAAGTGGCTGTTTCTTTATGTTTAGTGTGGATTTGTATTGCTTCTTGAGTTAATTTTATGATTTCAGGATATAAAATTTGTTTTTAAATTGGATTTTTTTTTTAGGTTTTGATAATTTTGTTCAATGTTCTATTTTAGATTGTAACCTGAGATTTCATTATGTATCAGACAAATCATTTTTTGAAATTAAATTAGTTTAAGACAAATTTAAATTTTGAATGGAGAGAGTTTATTTACTATTGCAGTTGACTGAAGACTGGGGAGAAGAGTTGTTCTCTGCTTTGAGCAAAGCTGGAGGCAAGGCTTTCAGTAATATGGCTGTTGGTTATAACAATGTTGATGTCAATGCTGCAAACAAGTACGGTGTTGCTGTTGGAAATACTCCTGTAAGCTATCTTTTTTCCCCTCTCTCATATTCGCATTCATTCATACGGTTATACTTGCATTTTAAATGCATCATGCATATGTTTAGTTAGCCTTTTTCTTAAAATGCAAAACTAGCATGTATGCTTGGAAGAGCGATTTAGTCAGACTTGTACTGTAAAAACTATCTGTATATGTATGCATCTATGTATGTGCTGAATTGGTTATGGTTATGGTGTTCGTGTGTGTGTGTTTTTGTGAGAATAGTCTTGATGATGAAGTTATTTGTTATAACTTAGTTTCATATCATTCTTTGTTTTTGGTAGGGAGTGCTAACAGAGACTACGGCAGAGCTTGCAGCTTCTCTGTCGTTGTCAGCTGCTAGAAGGATAGTTGAGGCAGATGAGTTCATGAGGGCAGGACTATATGATGGATGGCTACCTCATCTGTATGAAAATCATCCTTTCTTGATTTTTTGTGAAATACTGCGCGAGTTGTTCTTTGTTAGTCTTCATACATTGAATTGCAAGTGCCATACATACTGTTTTGAAGACTTGAATAACTGTTTTGGTTTTGTTTCTCTGGCAGATTTGTTGGAAACTTGCTCAAGGGACAAACAGTTGGTGTTATCGGGGCTGGCCGTATTGGATCAGCCTATGCAAGAATGATGGTAACTTTCTAATAAGTTGACTATGATGCAATTGTTAATAACTTTAAGTTGACTATGATGCAATTGTTAAATGACCTTAAGTTGACTATGATGCAATTGTTTTGAGCTGTATCAGGTTGAAGGGTTCAAGATGAACCTGATATACTTTGATCTCTACCAAGCTACGCGACTCGAAAAATTTGTCACAGGCATGTCCCTATCATTTGTTGAAATGGATATTTGTTGACTTCAAAGCAAATTGACTAATAATTATTTTTCCTTAATGCAGCTTATGCTGATTTCTTAAAGGCAAACGGTGAAACACCGGTGACTTGGAAAAGGGCGACGTCCATGGACGAGGTTCTCCAGGAGGCTGATATAGTGAGAATTCTGATGCTGAGAGTTTAACTTTGTAGCTATAAACCTATCACATTTGATTATTTCAAATAATTTTTTTATCATGAGTGCTTTTGCAGATTAGTCTTCATCCTATCTTGGATAAAACTACTTATCATCTAGTCAACAAGGAAAGACTCGCCAAGATGAAGAAGGTAAGAGTTCAAGGAACTTTTTTTTACTTGTTATGAATTATCTTGTAGATTAGTCTTCTTTTACTTATGAGACATTCCTATTACAGGAAGCAATTCTTATAAACTGCAGTAGAGGACCTGTTATTGATGAAGCTGCACTAGTGGAGCACTTGAAACAGAACCCGTTGTTTCGTGTAGGCCTTGATGTGTTTGAGGTAATTTAACCTTGTCTGATTTTGGATAATTGAGTTTGCCTCTACAACCACTTTTACAAGTCGCCGTGTGAGTTTTTTTATTAGGAAGAACCCTACATGAAACCCGGGCTTGCAGAGTTGAAGAACGCCATTGTGGTACCGCACATTGCATCTGCTTCCAAGGTAATTAATTCTAACCCGCTTATTATGCTAAATTTTTTCAGTATTATAAGAGTCTTTTCACGTCCTCGACGATTTAGTTAGTCCAATGGTATAAGTTGGGATGCTAAAGGAGTATTAAGAATGAGATCCATAGTTCGATTTCAGCTGCTAACAAATTCTCCCCCTCCCTAACAAACTAACAAGTAACATTTGCCTATCCAAAAAAAAAAAAAGTATTTTCGCTGTTGAATCATTTTCAAAACTGATCAAATGTTTCATGTTCATGTATGTGTTTGCAGTGGACCCGTGAGGGAATGGCGACACTAGCCGCTCTTAATGTGCTGGTAAATCCATATGTCTCTCCATCTTGGGTTCATTCCTATGATCACTGTGTCTTGTATTGTAAAACTGATGAGGCTCCTTAAAATATTATGCAGGGGAAGATCAAAGGCTACCCGGTATGGTTTGATGCCAACAGGGTGGAACCATTCCTCAATGAAAATGCTCAACCTCCAGCTGCATGCCCAAGCATTGTTAATTCAAAAGCCCTGAGTAAGAACATCTTTCACCCTCACTCAAGTCAAATATTGTTGTGAATAAAACTTGTTGAAAGTGTTAATAATGGAATTGTATACTCTCTTTCTGATTGCAGGTTTACCAGTTTCGAAGCTGTAGTGTAGCTGTATAGGCATATACAGGTGTGGTTTTTATCCTGCAAGAACCTTCAAAGCTTGTGTTTGTTTAAAGTGATGGTGGCAGTGGGAATATAAACTATGAATACTATCTTGTTTGTATCATTATCATGTGCTTGTAGTTTATTTAAAACTCTCGAGTGAACCAGGAACACTTTAAAATAAAAGATGAGAAAATTTTGCCACTGTTATTTAAAATGTCAATAAACCAGACCAGAATGCAAATGACAACTATACCAGAATGCAAATGACAACTATATGAGTTATATAATGTGAAGCAAATTGTTATTTCTTATAGAGGAAATAGGACCACGAGTTCATGAACTTTACTAGTATAAAGTCGGGAAAAGTTTTAAAAAAATAAACAGTAGGAACTGAGTAAATAGATAATGATAATGATCATTGTAATAAATAAATGAATGGCAGAGAATTAATATTAAAGGAGAAAGTGCAGAGTTGATGAGAGGAAAAACTTCACATTTACTTGATGCATGTAAAGAGTTTTAGGTGAGTCAAGAAAGAAGATTTAAGGCTTTGAGAAAGCATATAATAGAATATCTAGAGATTTTGTGGAAAGATTTACAGAAAAAGGGGTTAGAATCGCATATATTCAAGTAATCTAAGATATGTATTAAGGAGTATCAATTAATGTGCGGACACAACGTGGAGAGACAAATGATTTCTTTAGGGAATTTCTTACTCCACCCCATAGGATTGAAAAACACTCTATACAATTCCGAAAAATGCCCTGGGAAATCGGAAATATATTTCTGATACGCACCGTGCACCATGCACCACAAGACCAAAATTGCTTCCACCCCCATTGTATAGACAAAACAGAATCGGCGATATATTTTCTGTTGAAATCGGAATTGCATTTTTTGGTTAATAAGTGCGGGAAGATTGAAAATTCTGCCACCTTAGTATTTTATTTAGGATCAGATATGTATTTCCGAGAAACTCAAAAGTCATATTGTTTAAAAGAGTAACCAGCATGGACAAGAATGACCACTCTCATTTCATAAGCTTTTCAAAAACTCTTCCATTCTCAATCAAAATTTTCATTTTAAATCTTCATTATTGTGATTCATCGTATCAAAAGGAGCTCAAGGATGTGGAGAACTATTTTCCGTTTAGAAGCAAAAATTATGACTGAGCTAGATGCGACTATTTCGAGATCGGTCGATGATATTATCAAGATGTTGTAATGTCCACTTGGACTTTGAATTATAATGTTTGAATTGTGTTAAAATCCTTAATGTATTGCTTATATTATAATATCAATGTTTGAATTATGGTATTTTGAGTTTGTGAATTTGGTGTATTTCAATTCTGTTTTTTCAGAGTTATATGTAGCAAAATTCCAGAAATGCAACTGCGCTGCCAAACAGAAATATAACTTCGGGGATATTATATATTTTATCACATCTGGGTGTGTCCCAGAAATACATTTCTAGTTTACAGGGGCATTTTAGTATTTTCGTGTTGTGCGCTAGAAACCTATAGGGTGGGTTAAGAAACTCCCTTTCTCTATTACAATAAGTTTGCATCAAAGTTTAACTCTAAGCCCAACTCTTTTACTTTAATTTTGGATGTACTCACAGAACACATTCAAGAGCTAGCACCGAGATGCTTGCTTTTTGCGGATGATATAGTCCTATTTGAAGAGTCGGAGGAGGATTTAAATGAGAGGTTGGATACTTGGAGACAAATTTTAGAAACGCATGGCTTTCGCCTAAGTAGAAGTAAGACGAAGTATATTGAATGTTAGTCCAGCAAAAGGGGATGCGTTTCTCACTTAGAGATGAAAGTTGGATATCATATCACCCCTCAATTCAAGTGGTTTAAATATCTCGAGTCTGTAAAATAAAACGATGGAAAAATAAAAATGAATGTATACCATCTAATTCAAGCGGGGTGGCACAAAGATACCGTTAAAGATGAAGAAATTGTTTTATCGGACTGCGTAAGACCTATGATGTTGTAGGAGAAAGAATGTAGGACGGTTAAGAATCAACACAAGAATAAAGTAAGTGTAACATAGATGAGGATGTTGCATTGGATGTGTGGTAAGACTAGACATGATAAGATTAGAAATGACAATATTAGAAAGAGTATTGGGGTCGGACCTATAGTAGAAAAGATGGTGAAAAATAGAATTAGGTGATTTGTGCTTGTAGAGAAAAGATATATAGATTATATGGTAAGGAGAGTAGATCAAATAGAGATAAGTCAAGTAAATAGAGGTAGATAGATACCTAGAAAAACTATAAGAGAAATTATTAGAAAAGATATTGAGATTAACGATTTGGATAGAGACATGGTTCTGGATAGAACATTATTGAAAGATAATAGGTAAATAATTTTTTTTATTTAACCTAAGCCCGAGGCTGATTTTTATAGTGAGAATACAATTAATTCTCTCATTGAATTAAGGAGAAAATTATTATATTGGAAAATAAAAAGACATAATGAAATTCTCTAGAATTGTCTAAAAATAATAAAATAGAGAAATAAATATTGATGTATTTTCCAACACCCCCATCAAGTTGGTGCATAGATATCTATCATGCCCAACTTGTCTATCAAATGCTCAAAGGTAGGTCTTGTCAAGTTTTAGGAGAGGTTCGGAAAATTCTTGGTATTGAAATTGTTCGAGATCTAAATGACAAGAAGTTTTACCTGTCACAAGAAATGTATGTGGAGATAGTCCTTCGGCATTTTAGTATGGATAAGGATATAGCAGTGAGCATTCCACTTGCTTCTCATTTCAAGCTTAGCCATAAACTATGTTCATCTATGGATGAAGAAAGGTTGAGTATGAAGAACATTATGTACCCGTAGTTTGATGTATGTTATGGTTTGTACAAGATCCGATATTGCTCATGCGGTGGGAATGGTGAGTCGTTATCTCTCAAATCCAGAAAAGATCATTGGGATAGGGGCCACGATGTGGGTGATGAGATATTTGTGTGGCTCGTCAAATTTGAAGCTAAACTTGGGATGTAAGAAGCCTATGTTGGTTGGGTATATGGATTTGATCTAGCCGGAAGCTTAGGTGATTAAAAATCAACTTCGAGGTATATGGTGACTTTTGCCGAGGGAGTCGTGGCTTGGCAATCAAAGTTGCAAAACTGTGTTGCACTCTTTACTACCATAGCCGAGTTTATAGTCGTCGTGGAAACGTCAAAAGAGTTATTATAGTTGAGGAAATTTGCAATGGAACTTGGTGTTAAACAAGAAAAGTATGTCATGTTTTGTGATAATCAAAGTGTCATTCACTTATCGAAGAATTCCTCCTTTCACTCGAGGTAGAAACATATTGATTTTCGTTATCATTGGATTCATGATGCTTTAGATTCCAAGTTGATGGAGCTTGAGAAGATTCACACTGATTACAATGGTTCGGATATGTTCACAAAGGTGTTTCCTAGGGGAAATTTTGAGTTTTATCGCACGATAGTCGGATTGGTGTTGCCCTCCAATTAGTCGGTCGGGGGAGTTTGTTGGAATATCCCTCTTATTTGGAGTGGCCCAAATAGATGTGAGTTCATATGTATGTAAGCATTTGTCATTATCCAACAAAGAGAATTAAGTCAATTATTCATTGTGTGAGAAACAATAAAAGAAAAGTATAGAGAATAGTGAAAATCCCACCGCCCCATTTTAGCACAGCTCAGTCCCACAAAATCGGAGCTTGCGCACAATCCAACGGTCGAATTGTTCTGAAATTTTGTTAGTGTTCATGACTTATAGGAGTACATTATGAATAATGGTGATTGGTTTCTGAGCTTTTTATTTCGTTTGTCGAGTCCATCTTTGAGGTATGAATTTCTTGATGTTTTTGGGTTGTTTGTCTCTCTTGATTCTTGTTGTATTACAAGATTGATTGTAGATCTTGATGATGTTTATGTATGCTTCTAACTAGTGTTAGAGAGAACATTTCTTGTACTCATTTGTAAGTGTTTAGTTATTGGCATGTATTTTTGGTAAAACCAGGTGTGTGAATGTCATGACTGATGTCATAACATTCTGGGTTTTTAGGTACTTTATGCAGAAAAAGAATGGCATACAGTAGCTGCTCTTTATGAGTGTGTATCTGAGCATTTTGCAATGATCACATTTATTACATTCTACCAAAATTAGTAAACAGGATTCCTGTTGTCATAACCAATGTTAAGACATCCTGTACTGAACTAACAGTTATGCAGTTTGGTTAATTCTGAGATTTTTCAGGAATTTGGTTCATACATTCCAGAACAGAATCTCACGTGGACTTTAGGTTAACCTAGCTCAATCCTAATCTTGTTGATAAAGTCTTGTGACCAAGTCTTGAGGTTAACCCTAATTAACCCTAGCTTTTTATGGAAGCCCTAACTGAAGAAACAGCTGCATATATATTCAACAGGAAGGTTGTTTGGAAAATCAACTCTTTGACAGAAGATCAACTAGGGGCTGTATAGTTTTAATTACTGTAATCCAATCAAGTATCATTGTGATAAGTGACTTGGAGTAGGTTTTGATTGTAAGGGTTGTGTATCACTCAAAGCTTTGAAGCAAGAGTGTTTGTGTCACTTGATTAAAGCTTTGAAGCAAGGTCAAGTTAGGTTTATGTATCACTCAAAGTTTTGAAGCATGAGTGTTTGTGTTACTTGATTAAAAGCTGTGAAGCATAATCAAGTGTATATTCTGAAGAGTGTCTTCATTATTTCATTAGTCAATTGTTTAGTATCACTGCTGTGATTGAGGGGGAGTGAGTAGGAACTCAGGTTTAAGTTGAACTTAGATTGAAGTTGCATTGGGTAGGTCTTAAGTGAAGGAGATAAACTGGTTGGTTTATTCCTGAATTAATATCTCTTATAGTGAATTTCCTCCCTGGCTTGGTAGCCCCCAGAGTAGGTGTTGTTTCACACTGAACTGGGTAAACAATTGATTGTGTTCTTTACTGCTTTTTGATTTACTGTCTTATAGAAAGTCAGATAC